GGCCACTTTGGCTTAGAAGACCACCTTCGGTGGTCCAGGAGATGTGCTGGCGCCATCAGGCGCCCTCTCCCATGGCCCGTTTCATGCGGGTTCTGGGCCCCGCAAGAAATCTTCGGGATCGAGCACTGAGGCTTAATGGACTGTCCTAGGCCAGATGGGGTCGGAGTAGATGGGGCCAGAGGATCGCGCCGCATCGCCGACGCATCGGCGATGCATCGGCGATGCATGGGCGACGCATCGGCGATACATCAGCGATGCATGGGCGATGCGACTCGACGCAGAGTCCGATTGTCTCACGTCGACGTTGCCAGGGCACCGCCGACGTCGACGACGCATCGGCGATGCGGCCCGGTCCCCCGACCCCATCTACTCCGACCCTTTCAAGGAGGCCTTCAATGTGGGACGACGCGCCGGGGCCCAGGGGCCACGCGGGAAACCCCAGGGGATTTAGGAGTTCGGGGCCCTGGCCTCGCAAGGAACCCTCGGGATTGAGGAGTGAGGCTCAAGGGATTGCGCCGAGGACCTGAAGACACTCCAATTCATGCCTCTCGGCACGGCGGTAGATGCAATGGTTATCTATCTGTATATATATATATGTATATATAATGTGTGTTGGCTCCTCTCTTCGTATCTATCTCTCTCTCTCTTTCTCTCTCCTTTCTCTCTCTCTATCTGTCCTCTTTCTTGCCCTGGCTACTCTGGACATCATTGCGTGCGCTGTGCGCATTGCGTGCGTTGTGCGCGTGTGTTTTGAGCGTGTTGTGTGCGTGCGTGCGTGTGCGCGCGCGTGTGCGAGTGCGCATGAATGCGTGAGTGCGCGAGTGTGAGTGTGCGAGTGTTTGAGCGCGTGAGTGCGTGGGTGTGTGACTGTGTGATTGCGTGAATGTGTGAGTGTGTGAGTGCGTGAGTGCGTGACTACGTGAGTGTGTGAGTGCGCGGGTGTGCGAATATGTGAATTCATGTGTGTGAGAGTTTATTTGAATGTGTGAATGTGTGTGAACGTGTGTGACTATGTGAGTGTGTGGGTGTGTGAGTGTGTGCAAGTGTGTGTAAGTGTGTGTAAGCGCGTGTAGGTGTGTGTAAGTGCGCGTAAGAGTGTATAGGTGTGTCAGTGTGTGTAAGTGTGTGTGTGTATAAGTGTAGGTGTGTGTAAGCGTGTGTAAGGGTGTGAAGGTGTCTGGATATGTATGGAAGTGTGTGGACGTGTGAAAGTGCGTGGAAGCGTGTGTGTGGAAGTATATGGACATGTTTAGAAGCGGTTGGAAGTGTGTGTAAGTGTGTGTGTAAATGTGTGCAGGTGTGCGTAAGTGTGTGTCAGTGCGTTAGAGTGTGTGTAAGTGTACGTGTACGTGGTTGTAGTGTGTTTAAGCGTGTGGGTGTGTGTACGTGTATGTGTGAGTATGTGTGTAGGTGTGCGTGTGCGTGTCCGTGTGCGCGTGCGTGTGCGTGTGCGCGTTGTGGGTGTGCATGTGCGTGTGCGCGCGTGCGCGTGCGCGTGCGTGCGTGTGTGCGCATTCGCGTGCGCGTGTGCGTGTGCGTGTGCGCGTGCGCGTGCGCGTGCGTGTGCACGAGCGCGTGGGCGTGTGCGTATGCGTGTACGTGTGCATGTGCATGTGCGCGTGCGCATGCGTGCGCGTGTGCGTGACCGCGTTCGCGTGCGTGTGCGTGTGCGAGTGCGTGTGCGCGTGCGTGTCCGTGTGCGCGTGCGCGTGCGCGTGCGCGAACGCGTGCGTGTGCGTGTGTGCGTGTGTGCGTGTGTGCGTGTGTGCGTGTGTGCGTGTGTGCGTGTGTGCGTGTGTGCGTGTGTGTGTGTGTGTGTGTGTGTGTGCGTGCGTGCGTGCGTGTGTGTGTGCGTGCGTGCGTGCGTGCGTGCGTGCGTGCGTGCGTGCATGTCCGTGTGCGCGTGCGTGCGCGCAGGCGTGCGCGCGAGCACGTTCGCGTGTGTGTGCGTGTGCGTGTGCGTGTGCGTTTGTATGTGCGTGTGCGTGTGCGTGTGCATGTGCGTTCGCGTGTGCGCGTGCGTGTGCGTGTGCGCGTGCGTGCGCGTGTGCGTGTGCGCCGTGCGTGTGCGCGTGCGTGTGCGTGTGCGCGTGCGTGCGCGCGTGCATGTGCATGTGCGCGTGCGCGTGCGTGGTCGTGTGCGTGTGCGCATGCGTGTGTGCGTTTGCGTGTGCGTGTTCTCGTGCGTGTGCGTGTTCTCGTGCGTGTGCGCGTTCGCGTGCACGTGCGCGTTCGCATTCGTGTGCGCATGCGTGTGCGCGTGTGCGTGCGCGTGCGTGTGCACGAGCGCGTGGGCGTGTGCGTGTGCGGTTGCGCCTGCGTGTGCGCGTGCGTGCGCGTGTGCGCGTACGTGTGCACGAGCGCGTGGGCGTGCGCGTGGGTGTGCGAGTGCTTGTGCGAGTGCTTGTGCGTGTGCGGTTGCGTGTGCCTGACCGCGTGACCGCGTGCGCGTGCGCGTGCGCGTGCGCGTGCGCGTGTGCGTGTGCGTGTGCGTGTGCGT